AACTGAAGCTTGGGCCAAAAGCTGTGAAGTAGGTAGCATTAGCCAGAAAGATGGGTGGAGGAGGGCATGGGGAAGACTGTAGATGTTCTGATTTCACCTTACCCGATCCTAACATGAATAATCAGGATCTTTCCAAGTCCTCCATAAGTTTGTTGTTGTTGTTGTTGTTGTTTTTTCTCCTCCTTATAATGTTTGAGATCACTAAGGGTATGTCTACACTTAAAATACTGCAGTGGCACAGCTGAGCTGCTGTAGTGGTCCAGTGTAGACACTCCCTACAGCAATGGGAGGGTTCTTCTGTCACTGTAGTTAATCCACCTTCTTGAGGAAGTCTTCCATTGACCAAGAATCATCTAAGGGTTAGGTGGGCATAGCTACAGCTCTCAGGGGTGTAGATTTTTCATACTCCTGAGAGGTCTAGCTATGCTGATGTAAGTTTTCATTATAGACCAGCATTAAGAGTTTGATCCAAGTCCAGTCTGATCGGAATCATTGGAACTCTTTCTATTATTTTGATGTGCTTTGGATCCAGCCCTAAGTGAAAACAATGTCATGCTATTACTACATTCTAAATAAGTAATGACTTAAAATATTGAAGTCTAATGTTTTTCACACAAATAATATCAGGGCAAAAGCATGTGTTCCTGGTAGGATTCCTCTAAATAAGACTACCCCATCCAGAGAAATCAACAACTGCAGTTTTGTGAACGAAAGGTTTAGTAAACATGCAAAAAAGGCAACTTGCCCAATCTTAGCTGTTTTGGATGGTTTTGAATCCCTGATTATGATTCTCAAAACTAAAGGTTCATAAAGGGTATTTAAGTGTTTGGCTAATTAAGACCTAAATGCATCTCAACACAATAAATAGCCTGCAAATAAAACTGTTAAATGGACATGTGTGGACTATGCACAAAGATTTTTATGTACTAAAGCTACAAGTCTGAGAGATACATTAGACCCCATTAATTTAATGGCACATGATGTTTATAAAACCTCAGAATGTCTAAACAATGATCAGTTGCTTCCATTTATTTAGACTGCTTGCTGTACTTCTGCAAATAAACTGTGGTTAATACTCATTCCATTACCCTGTTCACTGCGTGTTTTAAAATGTTCATATAATTTGCTATTTATTTTTGTTTAATCTCAGACACTGAGCCACATTCTGATCTCAGTTGTGTTTGGGTAAATCCAGAGTAACTCTGTGACAATGCGGTTCTGGCGGAACCCAACTGAGAGTGCCAACTCAGGACAAATTGCTCAAACAGGGCAGTTACAGCCCAAGGCTGGGGTTTTTCCACCTCTAAGGCAAACCAAACCAGCCAGACTAGGAGGACTTCGGTCTCATCCCACTGGCTAACCGCAAGTCTCACAAGCAATCTCCTTAGACACTCCAGTTTCCCAGTATTACCACCAGTGCCACACGTTATGGGGACAAATGGTTATGAAAACCCATACCCCAGTAAAAGAAAAAAGTTCT